GGCAGACAGTGGGGTCTACAGGGCAGAATTTGAGGACGCACATGGCTTGGTCACTGTGCTGTGCTTCTGCGTGTCAGTGTGGGGTGAGTAGCTGGAACCCCATCACCCCATCACCCCATCACCCCATCACCCCGTCACCCCATTGTCTCCCCGGTCCCTTCTCACCGGCTCCGTCCCCGCAGAGCCCGTCCGCCAGCCGCACCTGGAGACCCTCATCCTGCACCAGGAGCAGGGCAGCTGCAACGTCTCACTGGACTGCACCTTGCCCGGTGCCAGCAATGTTTCCTACAGCTGGTCCTGCAGCGGGGATGCCCTGGGAGCCCTGGAGCACCAGCCCCGGCTGCACCTGTGGGTCCACGCAGACGCCGACCCCACCATCTGCTCCTGCAACGTGAGCAACCCGGTGAGCTGGAGCACAGCCAGCACCAACGTGGTGGCACCCTGCCGCGCTGCAGTCTCAGGTAATTTGCCTTCAGCTCCGTAAAAGCAGGTTTAGGGGGTCCCAGTCCTCTCTTGGGGCCCTTTGTCTCCCCGCCTGGGCCAGTGAACGTCAAAACGTGCCCAGTTTCCCCTCCTCGGAAAGGAAACATGATGGCCGAGCACGGGTGGCACAACCGGGGCTGAGGTTTCTTGGCCAAATCTCTTCCCCTTGCGCTGCCCCGCGCGGGCTGTGATGGGGAGCGTGTTTCGAAGCAGCTCAAGGCTCTGCCCGCCATCCAAGGTCTCCATTTCTCCTCTCCTTCCTCCCCAGGGCTTTTCAGCACCTTTGTGGGGTGGCTTGTAGCTGCACTGATAGTAGCGGCCATCTTCGTAGCCTTCATTGTCATCTACTGCCGGTGGAGGAAGCGAGGAAGGGACGCCCTGGGAGGTTTATCGCCGGGTGTGTGTTTGGTTGTTGGCTGGTGGGGTTCTGGCTCCAGCCCCTGCCCTCCTCCCGCCTGCCGTCACGCTCCTAACGCTCTCTGTGCTGCTTCTGGGATTCTCCCCGCTCCTGGGGCTGTTGTGGGATAACCCCCCGGGCACCGTCACCCCCCTGCCAGGCGCCGCGTGGGGCACTGAGTCTTTGCCCGACCCTGCTGATGGAGGGTGGTCCAGGTCGATGAGCTGGATGAAGCATCCCAGCAGCCCAAGCATTGGTGCCCAAACCTGGAGGCCTCATCCCATGGAGTCTAGAGGACTGTTTGGGTTTGGATACTCCTTTCATTCTGAGCTGGAGCACCCCTCCCCAGCCCCTGCCAGATGCCAGCAAAGGAAAAACCTCCCAGTTGCCATGGGACCTCTTTTTTCCTCTGCTTTGCTCTGCTCGGGGGCTGGACCCCCTGGTCTGGGGGCTCTAACATGTCGACCATCTCACACCGACCCTTCAAACTCCCCCAGGACACGGCGACCAGTCACTGACCGTCTATGAGGAGGTGGGAAGAGCCCGGCCCAGCCAAGACTCTGTGAGTGCTGGGGGGTGTCCCTGGATATCCCCTCCCCGCGCTGCCCGAGGGACAGGACCTCTGTTTGGACATGTCTGTCACCCCAGGGCACGTCCTTTAACCAGCCTGGGGTTACTTTCTCCCCCAGAATGGGACCGGTGAGGTGGCTGCGGGGGGTAATACCGTCTATGCCGTCGCCCACCCCAAAC